GTCCCACCTAACTCCATGGCCTGCCTTCTGCACCTACCTTTTAATGCATTTATTTATTTTCCTTCATCATTTGCATGCCGGATGGCGCTCTCTGTTGTGCTGCCACATGACACACTTCTGGATGTGTTATCAAGCCATAGCCCTGTTCTATAAGTTTATGTATTTTCTTTTCCCCCATGGGTCAGAGTCTAATGCTGGGTGCTAATGCATCCCTGTCTGCCCCCGTGTTAGGCCTCTAATCTAACGTTTGAATGAATTACAATTGATGCTCTGAGTCTGTGGGGTTCGCGGCGACAAGACAAGGCTTAGGAAAAGGTGTGGATGGCCACTGTTTGTGCGTGGCCTAATGAGCGAATGAGCCCTATTTCTAACACAGACAGCAAGCAGAGGTCCACGTCCAGTGCACTGAGGAAGGAGCAGAGGACTGTGGCTGGCGATCTGCAGAAGGTGCTGACATCCGTTGTGTGTCCTCATGGCCAAGAAGGCCAAGGGCATCCTGGCTGCATCAGGAGGACGTTGCCAGCAGGTCAAGGGAGGGCATCCTGCCCCTCAGTTCTGGTGAGCTCTGGAGTATTGGGTGCAGTTCTGAGCTCCCAGGATAAGAGGGACGTAGAGCTTCTAGAGAGGGTCCAGCGGAGAGCAACCAAGGTGATTAAGGGACTGGAACATGGAACATCCTCTGAATGCCCTTCAGAGGCACCTACACAGGCTGGAGACTTGGGCACACTGGAACCTCCTGAGGTTCCACAAAGGCAAGTGCTCGCTCCTGTACGTGGGGCAGAAGATGAGCTCTAGAGGTCCCTTCCAAACTCAAAYATTCTGGGATCCTGTGATTTCCCAAGTCCCCCAGGGGACACTTAGGAGAGTCTGCTACGATTGATTCCTCACTAGCATTTGTAAGGGAGTGAAATGTGGCTTAACAGAAGCGAACAGGGGAACAACACAGACAAACAGACACGGTTTAATCTCTAGCTCCACAGCGAGGGGCTGAGCCCGTCCCTGCAGAGTGGAGGAAGACAACTGGAGGCCTGTCTACCTCCTGCTGCTGTGCGAGCCGGTTGTGGGGCTGCCCTTGCCCTGGCTCTGCGCTGTGGCTRCAGGCAGACAGAGCTCTTTGCCACAGGACTTCTTTCTCTTTCTTTCYACTCCTTTCTTTGTGCTGACTTTTCAAGGACCCTTTTCCAGGACCCCKTGTGGGTGCCAAGTCAAAGTGAGATCAGCCCCTGTGCTCAGTCTGGGCAGGCGATGCGGACAGCCTTTCTGCTTTCTCATCAAGGCCAGTGAGAAGGCACCAGCTGCACTGGAAGGAATGCCAACAGTGCTTGTAGGATCGAACTTCTGGAGGAAGGAGAATCATTCCTGATGATACTGCCACAGCCTCTTGCAGCTGGGCTGAAGAAGAAGCTCAAAGGAGGAGCTCTGGATTCAGAGCAACAGGGCCCCAACCTTCTCTACACGCTGCTGTCTGATCGGCTTTGCACTGGAAAAGCTTCTTTGAGACACACAGATACTCTGGAGTTGAGCAGATTCTACCTTAGGAGAG